CTTTGCTATATATACTTGAATAAAAATCCTAGCTCCCAAAAGGGTAGACGTTAAAAAAAAAAAATAATAATAATAATTATTTATTTAACTTAATTTTTTAAAAAATATACAAATTTTAAAATTTTTTATTAAAATTTTATTAAGGCTATGTAAAGTAAATTTTTTGGATTTCATAACCTAGCTGGGTCTAAAAATTAAGATTTCAAATTTTAAATTTTTTTTTAAGTTAGCTAATAGAAATGCAGATTGCTATAGACAAAATAATTAACCAATAAAATCATATAAATTAAATATGTAATTACTAGTTATGTATAGATTATTTTATTGCTTGGGTCTTATATAGCAACCTATGCTTTTTTATTAGTATAAGATTGTTATGTTAGACACAAGAAAGTGCAATAACTATAAAGTATTAAAGAAGCAAAATATAAATTTTGCGAACACTATATTTAGATTATTTGACTCTAAAAGCTCTAAATATTAACAAGTTTAATTTATTACAACCTCTATTCATTAACAATTACTAATTGCAAGAATAGTTAAAAGAGATAAGAGCTATATTCATGGGTATATTGCTAAAAGCATTTCTTGAATGTGTGCCAGGTTTGTGGCACAGATTTACCAAATTATGAATCAGATTACAAGATCAGGTGCAATATAACATAATCAAGAAAATTCAAAACAAATGTTCATTTCACTTCTCGAAATTATATATAAAAAACTATTTTTGGTGCTCTAGCAATAAGTTTTTAGTGATCAATTTTATTATAAAAACTATTTTTCTTTAGCCCATAATATTAACCCTAATTTTAGTATAAACAAACTTTAAAAACGTGTACTGTACCATAAACCTGGTACAAATTCAAATAATACTTGCTATGGCATATAATAATTGCAGTTTAATATACATATTAGAGATATTACACTATTCAATTTGTTAAGTTTGATTTTTATTCTTTATATATTAACAATTGAGTTATATGATTTGAATTTATTTTTTGATTAATGTTCAGTTTCAAAATCTTACAAGCGAATTTTGACTAAAAAGAAACAAAAAAGCATGTTAAATTTTTGATTGCTTTATAAATTTTTATTTGAATAGTTGTATCTGTTTTTTTCTTGCTTACTTTATTAGTTCGGCCATTTCAATTTTTTTTTCTTATAGTGCTATTTCCCTTTTCTTTACTATCTTATTTCTATTTAAACTATTTTTTAGAAAAATAGTACTATCACATCTAACACAAAGAGGTAGCTTACCTTTTACTGTTTTTAAGTCTTCAGTACTATTGCAATTATAGTATATATCAGAATATATACTTGCTAAATAATACAGTTTTTCAATTGGCAATGCACAGGTCCATAAGTTATTAACAAAAACCCTTTTAAAAAGCATTCTAATTAGATCTTCTAGATTAATTTCTTCATTTTCGCTACTATAATCAGGTTCTGTAAATTCATATAATTCTTGCTTATTATTACTATCATCATGATCTTGGTCATCAGGCTCTATAACAATATAATCCTCATCTATATTATTAGAATTGGTAATATTTTCAGAACTGTTGATAATATCTAAGCTAATAATCTGCATATCTGTTTGTTTTGCTATACCAACTAGTGTCAGATCGCATATATTATGAAAAGAAGTCTCACATGTATATAAGATTATATGTAGAAAACTTTTAAGTATTTCTTTATGCTTATTAGCAAGCTTTTTTATACTAAATAGTAAACATGGTTTTTCATATTTAACACAAGATACAGTAATGCCAATATTTTTTGCACAGGCTGCTGATGAACAGAATGGTATTGTGTATTT